ATATTTACTAGCTTTAGATTACTAATTTCAAAAATCTTGCACTCTAAGTTTTTCTTCCAACTCTTTCTTCGTGTTTAAAATTTATTCTATATATAAGAAAGCTTGGATTTATTTTGTTCGGTATTTTATTTCATAGTCGTTACCAATTTTCTTTTCTAATGTATTTTTTATCTTTTCTCGTTCTTCAGTATTTTTACTTTCAATCAATACAACACTGTTTCGCTTATCTTATATAATTAAAATTTTTAAATTCTGTGGGTCAATTCTCTTATTTAAATCCTCTTTTGTTTTGTTACTTTTTTGAATAGCTTTTGATTTAATAATTATTGGCGCGGTTTTTTTCAAATCTGGTAACGCTATGAGTTTTGCAACTTCAGCGTATGTGCATTGGCAGCACTGTTTATTGGTTAAAATTTTTTAACTTCACCACAAATTTTCTCATCTTCTTTCGTGCTTTTTGTAAGCTCTTCGCAAATTCTTTCACTCTGTGATTAAAATTTTTCTGTGATTTGGTTTGTGAGGTTTTTCATTTCTCTTACGCTTTTTTTACATGACTGTTGAGCAATTTGCATTGCATTAACTCTCTCAGTATACCTTGTCTCTATAGCTTCAAGTACATTTTTTATTTCCATTTCGTTGTTTTTTATTGCACTTTCGAACTCATTTTTTATATTGTTCCAAATGGCTTCCATTTGTTTTAACTGTTTCTTGAATCTCTTTAATCGCCTTTTCGACATTTTTGATGTAAGTGACACAATCTTCACATATAAATTTTATCATGCTATTGGTATTTAACATATTGCTGGCATATTGATCAAGCCCCGCGAACTTTGTTGACATATCGTACATTTTTCCATAAACTCCCTCACATCTAATTCCTGATTCACTTCGAATTGCACTTTTGCATTTAGTGCACTCCGGCATTACCGTTTTTGTTTACTCTTCTCAGGTTACTAAAATTAAGCGTCTCGTTCGCAATTATTTTACTTAGCTTGTGATTTTTCACTGTTTTGAGTTCGCAGTATTTTAATTCAAGCATCACTTTCGCACTTTTTACTAATTTTATTTTTCAAAATTTGTATTTATAAGCAGAACACATTCAGACACGTCCTTCTCATTCGACTCTCTTCCATAGTAAAGCTCTTTTCGCCTAAGTCTGTATGTGAATATGAAGAGGGGTAAGATCTAGAAGAACCTCCAAGGATGCGCTTGGACAAGTTCTCATGGCTCCGGTTATACATACGCATGCGAGCCTTTGTATCTCGGAGAGCACTTTGCTTGTTCTAAGTTGTGAAGTTCTATCGGCCATGATGATAGCTCCATAAGCTATCATGGGTTGTACTATAGTGGTGAAGATCCATCTCAGTATCTTTGGTGTGCATCCCCAACTCTTTCCTGCCATGGACCTACACGTCATAAATGATCTTACAGCTTTCTTCGCAGTTTGTTCCACGTGTGCATTCTAGAGTAGTTTTTGGTCTAGTATTACTCTTTTTGGTACATAATGTTGGTTCCATCTAGCCTTATCGTTTTTAGACTATCAAGTTTATATTTCCTTGAGAATGGTATTATAGTGGTTTTTGCTGGATTTACCTTCAGCCCCACTTTAGCACACAATTTTTTGGTTTCGTTCAGCCCTAGCTGGATTCTATTATACAGGGGTTTTTTCGAAATTTTCCCTGCATATTATTACAATGTCGTCGACGTACCCCTCGCAAGTTAGCTCAGTATCTGTTAGCTCTTGGAGCAGTCCGTCGACGACTATGTTCTATAGTAGTGAAGATAACACTCCACCCTGTGGACAGCCCCTTGTTGTTCCGGCGACAACCTATTATTCGTACAGGTTTGTATTTCTACCCTTCTGGTGCGGAGCATGCAATTAATCCATGCTATGAGGGTATTGTTTACCCCCTGCTAATCAAAGGCGCATAAAACTGTCTCCTTATTTTCAAGGCTATCTTGAAGTGAACTTGTCAGCGCATATAGGACGGTTTCAGTAGAGCGGCGCGCCATATATGCATGCTGGCGTGAATTCAGCGGATAGTTCAGTAAGACCCTAGTCCTTGCATAGTTATCTACTACCTTTTCTAAAGCTTTTGTATAAATGAGTTGAGGCAGATCGGCCTGAAGGATTTTGGGTGAAGTGGGTCCTTCTTTTCAACCTTCGGGATTAAAACTACCTACACTCTTCTCCACGCATCTAGTATATAACCCAATGCAATGCTGCTTCCAACTATTGTTAAGAGCGGTTCAATCACGAATTCTAAGCCCTGCTGTAGCATGCCAAGGAATATTTCATCCGCTTCCGGTGACTTTAGTGATTTAAAGGTGACCACCGCCCACCTGAGTCAGGCTCAGAGCATTTTTCCTTAGCTACGCACCAGTTTTCTCTGCTTATTTTACTACTATGTTCAGACTGATCTGTCTCGGAATACAATGTAGATCCTGGGAAGTGAGTATCTATGATAAGTTTGATCTTCTCTTCCTCACTCCCAGTGAAACTCCCATCACTCTTCCTTAGACTTGCGAACTTGAATACAGTTCGTTTTTGCCATTACCTTATAGAGTCTTGTAGCCTCCGCAGTATCTTCTATGCTTTCGCAATAGTTCCTAAAGCTTAAATGCCTAGACCCCTTATTTCTTTGTTGTACACAGTTAAGGTGTTTCTGTATTCTGACCATTCCCCGGTTCGTAACGAGTAATTCATTAAAGTGCTTTGTAGCAAATTCTAGTTCTGTTTCGTTCCTGATCTTCTGGCCCAGCCCAGGTTGCGCTACGTTCAACCACAGGTTGTCTTTGAACTTCTCCCACTATGTCTACCTGGCATTCCTTAAAACTCTGTGTATAGGAGGGGTTGCTTCTTTGTCAAACCTAATTATTCTATGATGTGATATGGAGGGTTCATTGGATACTCTACACTCTTTCACCAGCGCTTTCATTTGAGTATTTCCTATGGTTATATCAAGGACCTCTTCCCTCGCGCGGGTCGTAATAGTTGGTATATTCCCAATATTAAAAGTTTCTAATTTATTTCTAAGGATAAATTCAAGAAGGTACTCACCCCTTTAGTTAGTGTCACTGCTCCCCCGTGCCTCTCTATGCGCATTTGCATCACACCCGAGTATCAGGGGTAGCTTCCTGGTTTCGCAGTACTTCACCAGTTTAGTGACAAGCTCCGGTGGGGCGTGATTGCCATCTCCTGGGAAGCACCCCGATGCAGTTACGATGTCCTGGATGGTCTCGTTGATGTTGACCAGGACTTGGACCGCTACTATATCGCTCGACAGGAAATCTGAAAGCCATACATGTTTCAAGCTATTAGTTATTAACCTAGAATTTGTGCACCTAGTATCCGAAATTACCTGCCTGTTCTCTACTCCCAAGACTCTTATTTAGCCTGACGACCCAGGGTTCTTGTACCAGCACTATTTCCCGTCTAGATCTGAGGGTTGCTCTAGCGATGATAACAGCCGCGGCCCTCGCATGGTGTAGGTTTATTTGTGCAACCTGAGTGCTGGTTATCGTCTAAGCTAATAGCGTTCTTCTTCTTCATCCGTTGTCAGAGTTTCGTCAAGCTCTAACAAGGTCAAAATAGTCTCATGAGGTGGAAGACTAACTTCCTCTACTACCGTGCTTCAGGCTGCTTCCACGGCTACCATCTCAGCCACCTCTTCCGGTATTTCAGGAACACGCGGTGGAGTATTTGGCTCGGTTGCCCTCGCCGTCGGTTTCCTGCCCTAACGTAGGATACAGTTTTCCTTCTTGATAGCTTCCAACGACCGGTCGTCTATTCCAATCGTCCGCAGTTTACCCGTCTTCTCATCATTGTTCCTGTATACCTTCCATAAATCGGTATTCCTTCCCTCATTTTGAGCTATACTGAGGTTCAGCAGTTTCTGCGAGTCTTCCTTTGGACATTGTCATTACCCCCTGTTGTACCCTGAACGCTTACCCCTTTTTTGGGTGATGCTGCGTTCCCCTGAGAACAAATTTAACGCGTCCGTATCCCGGTTCTAATTTACACATATAAATTTCCCCTATCAGTATTAGCAATCATTCATGATTTAAAGCTTGTGCAAAGATTACCGATTAAATAAAAAACCTTAATTGGAGTTCATTTAAAGGACAGTTTAAGAAATAACGGACAGGGGGTTAAAATAAAGGACTGTTATTTAAAATAAAGGTCGTATGGTCACCGTAGATATAGTACTACATATCGGTAAACTCTAAAAGGCGATTTTGCATTTTAGCAGATATCAAATTTTTTTTACAGTTCCCAAAGCGAAGCAAGCACAGCAAGCATGCTTCGGACTAATACCTTAAGTTCGCTCTAAATATGAATATTAAAACGCGGATGGCGACGCATATAACTGATTATGAGTGCGTGGGCATGCAGCTTTCCTTTATTTCTCAATTTCTTTTCTTCTTCTTGAAAAGTCGTTTCTCTTCGATGTATTGTAGAAAGATTTTTCGTCATTCCTTGTAAATTTGGTTTCGGCGTTGTGCCTTCTTCAGTATAATTTTTCGTTCGAAGGGGTTGCAAAAACTCGTTCCACAATAGACCAATCTCCCACCACCACACCAACAACCAAAGCGTTTCTCTTCCTTCCTTTTATCTCAGTAAAGCTCATTTGTCTGTGCGCCGCGATTGTCTGTGGGGTATCTTGCTATGCTGCGTATTTCTCTTTATTATACCCGTTGTTTCTGCAGAGGTACGAAGTGGTTTTGAGATGGTATGCCAAACTTCTCGCCGGTCCGTTGTGACTGCACAGAGGACATTAATTGCAATAAGGTAGCGTTCCGAGTAGATGTTGGCTCATGACATCGAGCAGCTGTATAGAGAAACTTTGCTTATAAAGGGTCCGGATAGTTCAGGCGTTTTTGAAAGGGACTTTAATGTTGAGAGAGGTTATTATCGGAAGCACATGACTTAAGAAGATTTTTTCTAATACCCCACATCTAAATTTATTTATTGACAACATCTTTTAATCTATTTACAGGAACGGGATTTTCTGCGTCATCATCAACAGGAGCAGTAAAATCAATAGGCCTAGTCACATCATCGCAAAATGTAACATCATCTCAGGACAGCACGAAACGAACAAACAAGCCACTTATGGAAAAGCGACGTCGTGCCCGTATCAATCAAAGTTTGGCCATACTAAAGGCTCTCATATTGGAGTCGACGAAGAATCAGGCAAAAACAACCGATGGTCAAACAAAACACACCAAATTGGAAAAGGCAGATATATTAGAGCTTACTGTGCGTCACTTTCAACGGCATCGCAATCTTGATGATCCAAGTAATAATTCTGATGTTCCAGGTGTATTGCATACCATTTTTAATTATATTACTATGCCATATCCGCAGCTATTAACAAATACAGAGCTGGGTATACGGACTGTGCTAGAGAGGTGGCACGTTACTTGGCCACACCTGAACCCCCACCGCTCGGAAATATTCCTTCCTTGTCTGAGCCAGGATCCAAAGCACGTCTTCTAAGACATTTGGATCAATGCATAGCAGAAATAGACATTGAGATATGCCCCCACTCTAACGCAACCTATGCCGACAGTCCATCCAGTAGTTGTTATGATATCAACTCGGCAACAAAAAAGACGTAAGTTTTTGTTCTTGTATGTTATAATCAGGGCCGAAAAAATAAGCATTAAGCGCTTAGATAATAGAGGTCCGCGTCGGAAGATACTTGGCGTCACATTGAAGTTTTCTAGCGAATGCGCTTCCTTCTCTTCCTCTAACTGAGAGCGCGGATAGTGAAGAGAAGTATAGTAGCTAAGTATGTTCCGAAAAAGAGAGGAACATAAAAGAAGAGTACTACGTTGTGAAACTTCCGCAAGTAAAACGTTCCTTCATGTGAACTTTTCAAGTATTTTAGGAAAATTTCGTTTGAGAGCATACTTTATATACATATAATAAATATGATATGTCTCGTGCACATAAAATATATTTACGTTTATTTCTATACGTTTTTATACCTTTCATGAGCATGAAATGGTATTATAACTTTGGTCCGATGTTTGTAAGTACCAGAATAAAAAGAGATAGACCCATTAAAATGTATACTTATATGATAAGAACGTCGAGCTGAGTCGATTGAGCCATGTCCGTCTGTCCGTCTGTCTGTCTGTCTGTCCGTCTGTCCGTCTGTTTGTATGCAATCTAGTCTCTCAGTTTTCGAGATATCCTGATGAAATTTGGCAAGTGGGTGTATTTTTATATTGTATTAATCATTTGTCGGAACCGGAAGAATCGGACCACTATAACATATAGCTCCCATACAACTGATTGTTCAGATATGAGACTTTTCGTTATAACTCCTCCATTTATGCAGCTAAGATCATGACATTTTGCAATACTTCCACCCATTATCAACAGAAAACTTAGAGTGAAAATTACAAAGATCGGGTCACTGTAACCTATAGCTCCCATACTACTGATTGTTCAGATATGAGATTTATCGTTATATCTCCTCCACTTAAGTAGCTAGTAACACGAAATTTTGCACTGTTGTCCCTCATTATCAAAAGAATACTTTCAGTGAAAATGGCGAAGATCGGGTTGCTATAACCTATAGCCTCCATACAACTTATTATTCAGATATGAGATTTTTTGCCATAGCTCCTCCATTTATGCAGCTAGGAACATGAAATTTCGCACCGTTCTACTCATTACTAACAGAATACTTACAGTGAAAATTACAAAGATCGGGTGACTATAACATATATCTCCCATTCAACTGATTGTTCAGATATGAGAATTTTCGTTATAACTCCTCCATTTATGCAGCTGGGAATATGAAATTTCGCACTATTTCCACCCATCATCAAAAGAATACATTGAAAATGGTGAAGATTTGGTCGCTATAACCTATAGCCTCCATACAACTGATTGTTCAGATATGAGATTTTCTGTTATAAGTTATCCATTTAAGCAGCTAGAAACATTATTTTCGCACTATTTTCACTCATTATCAATAGAAAGTTTACAGTAAAATGAACAAAGATCCGGTCGCTATAACCTATTTATTGCCTCCATACCACAGATTGTTCAGATACCAGTTCCTCGATATATCTCCTTTATGTTGGAAGCTAAACCCCTTTAAATTGTGTTACCGGTATACATACCGACCACACAGCAGTGAAAATCACTTAGATTAGTGCTATATAAGGTATATCTTTCATACCTTTGATTGTTTAGATATAATTTTTTATATATGTATGTATCTCCTCTATCTAAGTATGTATGCCGTGAATATATACATTTTTTCAAATGCAGTAATCTGTTAAAGTAATATTTTCAGATGTTCATGAAAGGTATGAAGCCTTCGGCATAGCCGAAGACAGCGATGCTCTTACTTGTTTATATATATACATGTACATATGTACATACATACATACATATGAGTTTCTTTAAGGTATTTTTATGTCATATCTACCCTCATACTACATCAAATTTAAATATTGAAACACAGTTTTGAAGGTCAGCTTTACCGCTTTCGGAAAAAATGCAAATTTTTACATAGGGTTGCCATTTGTCTGAAAATAAAGTGAATAAAATATTTAAGTGGCGAAAAATTTTGCAACGCTTTTATCGAACGAAAGACATTTCAGTGCACTTTTATCACGAGGTAAAAGTTGTAATAGGGTTGCCAATATAAAATAGACATTTTCGGGATTCTTGGGACTTATCGATATAATAATCGATACTTTTATAGGGGTTGTTATCGATATTTTTATCGAATTTGTTATCGATACTTTTATAGATTATTTTTCGATTTTGTTATCGACTATTTATCAATTTTGTTATCTATTTTCATGTCGACTATTTGTCGAATTTTGTTATCGATATTTTCATCGATTTTGTTATCAATTATTTATCGATTTTGCTACCAATATTATCGATTTCGCTATCGAAATTTTTAACGAATTCGTCATCGAGTTTGTAATCGGTATTTTTATAGGTTTTGTTATCGATATCAATTGTATCAATTCACCCTGTACCTCTAAAAAAGTTCTTACTTCAAAAAATAAAAACAAGGTCCTTAATTTGACATCTAATTTATTAAATTCGAAAGAACTGTGCAGAACTGATCTCCTTCACAAAAAATTGCTTCACGTATTCGAACAGCCATATTTTAATACATAAATATGTATGTATTTACTTAACTCCCTTAATTTTATTTTGTAATATTTTGATTGAGCTTTGTACCACGATTGTTTATTAGGAAAAATTGAAAAAGCAACAATGTCTAAGCGGTAGAAGTTAGAGCAGCTATTTCGGAGATCACCACATCTCCTCATCAGGATCGAACCTGCGTAATCAGGGGGCAGAATTTTAGTTGCATATGACGTTTTAAACAGGTGGCAACACTTCCACATATTTATTAGAAATGGAGCCTTTTCAAGCCAATTTATAGTAATACCCATACTTTAATAACTGATCTAACTTGTTAAATAATTTTAATTAAAATTTTTAACAGTCGGCAACACTTCAAAAAAATTAAACCTTAGTACACATCTACAGGCCAAACGCTTTAATATCACACCCCATTTTTGGAAATCGAACGAATGCAAACCTGATCACATTCAAAAAAAAAATTCTTCGCGTGTTATAAGTAGAATCCAAGCCCATAAAGAGAACATAAAACTTCACGTGCAGTTTGACCTTCCTATGTGAAGTTTCCAAATACTACGTTCAGGTTGCTTGATACTTAAGTATGTGAGCATAGCGGAACACGTATTTGGTGAAGAAGAGCGCCGTGGAGTAACATCGTTCAGGTACGCACATTTGGGAAGTTCTCTACTTTTGGTCCCTTTTTTTTAGGTACCGCAAGCATGTGTTCCTATTTTCGATTGAATGTGAAAAGTGCAGTTTGGCTGGGAACCTTGCAGCCCTCTAATTTAGATAAGCACTAAAACCTTGAAAAATATGCTTGCAAATATGCTCGCAAAACAACAAAAATTAAGTACTATTCAATGTTTTGTTTTGTGTTCAGTTTATATGAAGGACTGAAAAATTATAATTACGTAGAGACGAACCATTTGTTTCAAATTTTGCAATGCAATTGAAGTTACGGGTTAATAAAAACCAAACCTGGTTTTATGTTACTATTTGTAAAACGTTCTTTTTTTTGTTTCGACGAATAAAAAAAGCCCAATAAATGGCGAAGAAAAATTTAGAGACAAATTTTCTTAAGCAGTACGAAGTTCTTAAGAAATTTGCTACGCTTTCTACTATGGTTTGCTAAAGCTTGTAGGTGAAGAGTACAAAGCACCCTTGTTAACAGAAATATATGCCCGTTCCATTATTACGTAAGGAAAAAGTGAGACAGCAGATGTCAAAAATCCTTGGACACTACTATTCATTCACACGAAATAATCGCAATTTATTTCTTGACCGTTTACTTAAAAGGTCCATACTTAGCTTTATACCTTGAAACAAGCAAAATAAGCATGATCGTTAAAATTAAGCTTGGAAACCCTGAATAAGCAATTCCAAGCAAAAGCTTAAACTTTTCGGCCCTGTTTATAATAACATACATATACATACATACATTCATATGTACTTAGGTACTTGAGTAAGAATTAGGATGACCCATCGTTCGAAAAATTTTTTAAATTACATTGGCATCACTTCAAATCGAGCTGTCTAAGGCACAAACTGTTCAGCAAATACTCGGTAATTTTCACCGAGGAAACAAGTCTGCCTTCCCGGTGTCGTTGACCTTTTTTAATTAAATTAATTAATGCCGTTTCCGTCGCTCCAGTTTCCGGTAACCTGGCCGCTGTATTTTCGGCTAAAAGTGGACGTGAAGGTACGGGGTTTTCACACAAGCTAGCGACCGGTTTTTTACATTTAGGGATGCAAACGGTGCATCGATGTTTTCAAAAGATTAATCGTCGTACACTGCCGAACGACCAGTGCCACGCAAGCGCTTGTTCGCGGAAGCTGCTGCAACCATCACTCAGGATCAGTGATGCTCAAAACAGCGTACGCGGGCGGAAATCTTCAAAGGTCTCTGTATATTTTATATGGGCGCGCACCAGCGTTGCCGTTTTGATGCAATTGTATCACTTTTGATACTTTTTTTCTAAATTTTAAGATTTGATACTTTGATACTTTTTTGTTCACAAATGCCCCATTTTGATACTTTTGGCAGGCAGAAATTAAGTTTTGAAAACTATGAATAATATTACTAGTTTAAGGACAAATCATTTTTTTCTTGTTATTTAAAGTCCTAAAATTGTATATATAGACAATTATAAGTTTGATTTGGTATCTCTTATAAGAATACAACACGGAAATTCTTTCCACAGGCCGCTGTTACAGAGCCCCTAAACCACACAAAAACATTGCGTCTTGTATGGGGATTGTTTGTACTGTAGCGATGGCTGTTAAATGGTTACTGTTTTATTGATTAATTTCAGTTTTGAATTTCATTTGACAGTTCATGTGTGTATATGAGAAAGATAATAAAATGAACGCTGAATGAATTCAAACATTAGAAAGAGAATAAAGATAAATATAGATAAATGCAAATCTGCGCAGGGCTGTATTATTTGTCATGACCTCGGGTTGCATTGTTGTGATTTATGACCT